ATATATATATATATATATATATATATATATATATATATATATAGATGTGTATTCAAATGAGGACAAGTATATTATAGAGGACTGTGAGGACAAATGTAGTGTGTGCCATTAGCCGATATGTTGTGTGCATGACCGAATGTAGTCGTGTGCCACAGTTTGTATGTCGCGTGCTAGATTTGTTAATTTATAGAGCCTGGGTTCGAAACCTGATGTTTACATTTATTCTTGTGTGCCGTTATGTATTAAGTTGTGTGCCTGGTATTAATTTGTTCTGTGCCCATTATTTGTCCTCACAGTCCTCTATATATTGTTGTCCTCATTTGAACTCAACCCTATATATATATATATATATATATATATATATATATATATATATATATATATATATATATATATATATATATATACATATAGGATCTTAGGAGGCACCTAGATCTTACACCACAATAATCTCTCACCACACAAGAAGTTCCAAGAATTCCCTTAGGAAAAATCAAGAAAGAAGAAAGCTTAAAGAAAGACCCTTCATAGCCAAGGAATTAATTAAGGCTAAGAGGTAACCCATGTCTCAACAAAATCTATTTTCTTAGCTATGATCTCCCTCTTAGGCCTCCCTCTATATTCTCGTGTCTTGATGAATTCTTCTATGATAATTGTGTTATGATCTTGGTGATTGATGGGATGATTTATATGCCTTCTTGATGATCTTGATGATCTTGATGTTGAAAAGGAATTCTTGATTTTGATGTGATGATTCTTGACGAATCTTGATATTTCTTGATGTTAAAGATAGAATATGTTCTTGATGATTTGGGTGGGATTAGAGCCCTAGGTTGGATTGGGAATTTGTGTTGTATTGTTCTTGATATATATTTGGGTGGGAATTCGCATGTTCGGGTGTTGTTTATATTTAGACGTCATGATAGGATGAGTATATGTGATCCTCGCTTTTGATCCGTTATTTGACTACATGGTATCGTTAATTACGTTTGAAAGTGTCTAAGCATGGTTTCGGGTTCCACAAAAGTCCCCGGGACGAAATTATGGTAAATGAGTCAGTGGGGGGTAGGTGGGGGTAAGGGAACCCGCCACCTACCCGCTGCCCTAGAATCACCGCCGGGCAGCGTGTAGCAGCCGGGCAGCCGCCTGCCCGCCGGCAACCCGCTGCCGGAACAGTGAATTCCGGCGGGCAGCCGGCGGGTGACCCCCACCCACCGGCTACCCGCTGGTTTGTACCCCACCCCGGGTCTCCGGCTTCCCTGTTTGATGTTCCCCGTCCCCCCATGGTGTCCCAACGGACCCCGTTTGTCGTACTCAGTCTAGTTTGATATTTCGGTTACCATTCGTAGGGTTAATGAGTCTTAGGCGTTGCATGCTAGTTGAATTGGTAACCCGTTGACCTAGGTGGAAGTTGTATGAACCGTTAGGACTATCCTTAGTATGTGGAGGGCCACCCGTCGGTGACAAACTTCCGGGCAGCGGGTGCCCGGCGGGCAGTCGCCAGCCCGCTGCCGGCGGTGTTTCTTTGGGCAGTGGGTAGGTGGCGGGTTCCCCTACCCCCACCTACCCCCCACTGACTCTTTATCAAAATAATTGTTCCGGGATCTTCCGTGAAACCTGAAACCATGCTTAGACACTTTTAAACGCAGATAATGACACCACGTAGTCAATGAATGGATCAAAAACAAGAATTACATAGAACATATGCTATCATGACTTCTAAACATAAACAACACCCGAACATGCAAATTCCCACCCAAATATATATCAAGAACATCACAACAAAAATTCCCAATCCCACCTAGGGCTCTAATCCCATTCAATTTATCAAAGTCATAGTTCATCTTTAACATCAAGAAATATCAAGATATATCAAGAATTATCACACAAACATCAAGATCCTCTTATCATCATCAAGATCATCAAGATCACACATAAAAGCTTCTCATCAATCATCAAGATTATATCACAATTATCATAACGGATTTCATCAAGACACAAACATATAGAAGGAGCCAAAGAAGGAGATTATAGCAAGGAAAATAGCTTTTGTTGAGACATGGGTTACCTCTTAGCCTTAATTAAATTCCTTGGCTATGAAGGGTAATTCTTTAAGATTTCTTTTTTCTTGATTTCTCCTATGGGAATTCTTGGAAATTCTTGTGTGGTGAAAGTTATTGTGTGGTTGGTTCTAGGTGTCTCCTATGCCCTTAGGGCTGTCAAAACGGGTCGGCCCGCCCCATTAGGCCCGCCCCACCGCGGGTTTTTCTTTTTGCGGATTTTTGCGGGCCGGCCCGCGAAGCCCGCGGGCTAGGAGATATGCAACCCAGGCTCGCCCCATGCGGGCTTGCGGGCCCCGCGGGCTGGTGTTAAAATTTTTTTTAAAAAAATTGTTTAATAAGCATCTTTTCTTCTTCTTCTTCTAGGATTTGTTCTTCTGTGACTGAAAGGACAACATATTGAGGCCCCTAATTTAGTCTTCAATCCCAACCTCCTCCCAGATCAACTTGGACACTATTTCATCGTACTGCGGAACATATTCCTGCATGCCAAAATGAATTTCATTAATTATAAATAAACTTTATAAGTTTAAGACAAAATAAAAATAAAAATAAAAGTTGCCTAGTGGATTAGGGATTTTTTTTCTTTAGTCTTAAACAATTATATTATATTATATATAGAGAGAGACAGTAAACAGTAGTCAATTAGGATTAGGATTAGGAATTTAGGTTTTACCTCTTTTCTTTAGTCTTAAGCAGTTTCTTTACTGTTATATATATATATATATATTTTTTTTTTTCCAAATTTACTTTTCTAATATTATATCTCAAAATCAAGAGTCTACAAGTATACGCCATAGCCCCAAAAGTGGACTATGGCCCAAAAAAAGTCTTTGACCTTTTCGGCCATAACAAAGCAACAAAACGAACTCAATATATACAAGAGGTTGCCCGAAAGTGACCACCCCTAACTAGAAGCTCCCAGCTCATTAAATGAGCAAATATGCAATCTAAGGCTAACAAGCTCATAACTAAAAGGGATTTAAAGGTAGAATCTAGCCTTAAAGCCTCAATCCTCTCCAAATCAACCACAATCATAGTCAAAATAGGCTCCCCGTCCCACACAAGTGATGGGAACGATGCCTAAGCTCATGGATCCCATCTATCCTAATCTACCCCTACTACCCTCAAGTCAAAGTCCCATCCCCTCCGGCACGGCGTACCGTGTTTTAACCCGGGGGGACTTTACGGGTCCCGACTTGAGTGATAGTACTCACCTCCGCCCACCCTCGTGCCCAAGACCAACTCCCCTCGTCATAGCGTACTATGTTTTGCCCGGGTGAGCTTTTGAGGTCCCGACAGGAGCGGTGGCTTCCTCCCCGACCATCCTTAGGCCAAAGGCCGACTCCCACGGCACGGCGTACCGTGTTTTAACCCCGGGGAGCCTTTATGGCCCCGACCTAAGCGGTGGTTATCCTCCAACTCAAACCCTTCTCTCAACCCCTTCTTCTTTTGCATCTCTTTTTCTTAACAACTTCTTCATCAATTTTCTTTTTTTCAAAATATTTCCTTATCTCCCTTATTCCTCCCTCCTCCTCTTATTGTTATTTTTAACTCTCTTCTTTTTTTCCATTTACTCATTTTCTCCCTATGGATCCAAAAGAGCTAAAGACTGTCCCAAATCCGAGTGTGTGCTATACTTGGAGCCTACAAAGACCCCACCATTCTTGGCACAAACCCGAATGGGCCCCTAAGGCTAGAAGCTACCCTAAGAATCCCTTCTATTGTAAGCTTATTTGCCATAGGATGCAAGCATGCACATGCTAGAGCCGGGAGTTCTTTAAACTTGATCAACCAAAGTCTTCATCTCCAAGCTTCCTTGTACCTGCAAAACCATATAAGTGGCTTCATCTCCACTCAAATGTGGATCCACCAAACAAAATCTGCACAGTATAACTGTCAGTACCCTCAACAAGCTGATGCCCTCAGAAACTGCCCAGCTAGCAGTCCATCATTGGGCCAAAGGGAGCATAAATCTCAGCTAGCTAGCCTCACAGATTCATGTTCCCTAAAACAATCCTTCTAAAGAGCTTCCTCTCAGCTTGGTAGAGCAGAACTGGCCTTAGCTTGGTGAATCCCCAACTTCACTGACCAATTCCCCCAACATCACTGGCTCTTTTTACTTGGGGCCTGCTTTGCTCTCAAAGTTATCCAACTCATCATTGAGCAATGCAGATCAGAAGCAGGAACCAAGTCCCTCATATATCTACAAGTTCTTTAGGTTAAGCAGAGATGGCCTCAGCTTACAGCCTCATCTACCATTTCCCCCACCCTAAAGAACATATCAGCTTTCAGATTCATGCTTGATAAGCTGGGGAGTCTAGGCAGAACTGGCCTCATCCTTACAGACTCATAAACCAGTTCCCCCAAACCCCCTAAGTGCCTTCACTTATTCCTACCAATGTTAGGCCTAATGCAGGTAGAATCAGCCTCAGCTTATTGGCTTCATAGGCCAATTCCCCCATCTAAGCAATCAATCCATCATTGGCTAGCTGAGCAGAACACCCCTCAGTTGTAACACAACTTCATTAGGGTGTTCACTCAGTCAGACAGAATGTTCAGATATCAAAGTGAGATCGTCCTTCCTTATATCACCCTCCACCCTTCATATTTTATTTTCAGAAGCAACAATCCTCCCCTTCCTTATTGCACCCTCTCTCCCTCAGATTTTTCAAAAGCCAGGCAACCTGCCCAACTTTGGGCTGATTACTTGGACTTTCCTGACCACATAGCTAAGCCAACAAGAGATAGAACATCCTTCATCTACAACAGATTCCTTAGGATGTTCATTCTTGGAGCTTTTGGTTCTAGCTTTTCCTAACTATCACTCAAACCCTTAGCAAAGCCTCATAACATGTCATGGCTGGCATGAATCATCAGCTTGGCTAACTCACCAACCAGGGTCCCATACTCTTGATCCCAACCAGGTCCAGCTCTGCATCATCTAATCCTGTCCACACCAGGGAAGAACACAAAGTGGGGGACCCCTTCCAAAGCTAGAATCATTTCTAAGCCCCTTGGGAGACCTTCCACCTTGCTAAAAATTATATCCAGGCCAAAGCATCTGTTAGCTAAACAGATGGCCACACAGTTAACTTTGTCTAAACAAGTCTCCATTCTAACTTGGTGACCTTGCAAGCTTAAACAATCCAGATCAGTTTCCCTCCAATTATTTGTCTCAAAAGACACCTTCTCCATTCTCTTAAGATTACACCAACTCCAGCAGTATCTCATCATCTCTTGAATCAGGCTCTTCAAATCTTGCCCTTCTCTTAAGGTGTAGACCCCAGCAAGACAGAATCTCCCACTGGAATTCCTTACAAAAAAGGAACATGATCTCTCTTCATCATCCACAGCCCAATTAATCTTGATTGCCCCAGGTCCAGGCCTCACCCAACATGACCTCTGTACTATCCTTACACAACCAAAAGACTCAGCCTTCCTCAATATGATCATCCAGTTTGGAGGGAGAGGATCCCAGTATGGCCATTTCCTCTGTATACATTCAGCCATATCTTTGGTAACCTTGTATATGATTCTGGCCACAGAAGGCCTTCCTCCCCCATACTTACAATGGTTATAGTTCACCCATAACTCCCACAAAATTAGCATTGGTAGCCTTTGTGCCATAAACTCCATCATCCTATTCTTCCATTTGAATTTCCACCACTCATAACAAATATGTCTTTCAGATCTCACACTAACTCTCATTCCCATGGATTTTGCAAAGTAATCCCAGACATGCCTAGCAGTACCCCCAGTTCCAAATATGTGTTGCAGCTCATCACATCCAGGGTGTAAATAGCAAGAGCACCTGGAAGAAAATTGGTATCCCATCCTTCTTAAAACATCATCAGTTGGCAGTTTTCTCATAAACACTCTCCAGGTCAAGAATGACATTTTCCAAGGCACTCCTTTTGCCCATATCTTTTTACACCACAAGCCCACATGATGTGTACCAGACTCTCTCATTAACTCTTTTGCTGTTCTAAAGGTAAATTCCTTCCCAGTTGGTTTCCAGATTGCCTTGTCCTCCCTTTCTGTCAGCTGCATTGCTACATTCCAATCCTGCACTTGCCCCAAAGCTTGACCACTTAGCCTTTGCAGATTCACTCTATTATCCACCACAGCATCTTTTATCTTCTCCTTTGCCTTCCTTTTCCCTCTCAGATTCATAACACTTGCCAAGGCCCCCTTTCCTGACCAATCATCCCACCATACATTCAGCTCTCCTCTTTCCACTTGCCAAGCCACCTGAGGTTCCACCCTATCTCTTACATGGGCCATTCTTCTCCATATGTGTGAATCCTTATATTGCCAACCTATGACAACAGGATGTGAGTCTCTGCAATACTTGGCCATCATGAAATCACACCAAATTGTGCCCCCTCTCCTAAAGTTCCACCATAATTTAGCACTAGCTGCATCCACCAGCTCCTGCATTTTTAAAAACCCCACTCCTCCTTCTTTTGTTGGCCTGGCTAAGGTTTTCCATGATCCCCAGTGGTATTTGTTTTTATCCTCCCTCTTGCCCCAGAAAAAATCAGAGAATAGCTTCTCTATGTGCTTTATTATGGCTTTAGGGGGGTTTATTGCATAGCATATATGTGTTGGCATGGCCTGGAGAATAGTTTTTATGAGTACAGCTTTCCCTCCCTGTGATAGAACCCTTGCATGCCAGCCCTTACATCTCTCTGCTATTCTCTCCATTAGTCCATTAAACATCTCTACCCTTTTTCTGCCTTCGTAAATGGGGCACCCCAAGTATGTAAATGGGAAGTTCTTATGCTGGCAACCAGAAATGTCCCTTATTCTTTCAATGTTTTCATCTGGGGCTCTTGGATGAACATAGAAAGCACTTTTTTGTTTGTTTATAAGTTGCCCAGACTGCTTCTCATATGTCTCCAAAACCTCCATTATTTCCTGAATCCCTCCATTCTTCCCTGATGTAAAGATCACCATATCATCTGCAAAGGCTAAGTGGTTTATTCCTGGGCTCCCCATTGGTTGTGAGAAGAGGGACCTCTTTTGGCTCAGCAATCTAGAGAACAGCTCTGCAGCTAAAATGAACAAACTTGGGGATAAAGGGTCTCCTTGCCTCAATCCCCTGGATGAGTGAAAGAAACCCTTTGATTCCCCATTAACAACAACAGAGTACCAAATATTATTGATTGTGCCAGAGACCAGTTCTATCCATTTTTGACATAAAGCAAGTCTCTTTAGCACATTGGTGATGCATCCCCAGTCCATTCTGTCATATGCTTTTGTCATGTCCAATTTTAAGATCATATCTTCATTTGAGGCTTTCATGCCATGACATATTTCCTGGGCAAGTAATACATTGTCAATTATACTCCTACCCTTCACAAATCCAACCTGGACTGGGGATATTATTCTTGCTAGAATCCCTGCCAACCTTTGCACCAAGATTTTGGTTATGATTTCACTGCAAAAATTGCTTAGGCTGATTGGCCTAAATTGATTGAAGGTGGCAGGGTTTGGGACTTTTGGAATTAAGACAATTGCAGTGCTGGTAATTGGCCTAATAAGGCTCTTACCAGCAAAGAAACTTCTTACCACTTTTTGCAGATCCTCTTTGATAATGTCCCAACAGAGCTGATAAAAGCCACCCCCAAATCCATCAGGTCCAGGTGCACTATTAGCATTCATGCTAAAGACACTGGACCTGATTTCTTCGGGGTTGGCTCTGCTGTAAGTGCCTGGTTTTCCTCCTCTGTTACCATCACCTGCAAACAATCAAAAACACTTGGCTCAAAGTTAATTGGTTCTGCAGTATATAGCTGTTGGAAGTATTCCACAGCTATTGCTGCAATTTGGTTCTGATCCTCCTCCTACACTCCCTCTGCCCTCTTTATTTTGTGTATCACTTGCTTAGCCCTTCTCTCCCTCACCAATCCCTGAAAGTATTTTGAATTCCTCTCCCCTTCCACTACCCATTGTGAGTGAGCCTTTTGCTGCCAAAACTTCTCCTCTATTCTTATTTGTTTTTGCAATCTTGCTTGCAGTAGCTTATACTCCATCAATCTCTCATCAGTAGGTTCTTCTTGCAATTTTTCTTCTACCTCCCTCACCATTCCTTCTAACTCCCTCACCTTCTCAAATATATTACCAAAGACCTCCCAGTTCCATTTTTTCAGTACTTCTTTCACTCTTTTTAGCTTTGTAACAAAAGTATACATTTCATTTCCACTCACACCCTCTCTCCAGGCTTCTTTTACCACTCCCAGGAATTGCTCATGTTTCCCCCATGAATTGATGAAAGTGAATGGCCTTTTTCCTACTCTGATTACTGGTTCTAGATCCAACATGAGAGGGGCATGGTCAGATGATGCCTTTGCATAATGATGTACATGTGTCTTAAATGCCTCCTCCCATTTTTCATTTACAAATCCTCTATCCAGTCTTTTCCAAACAGCTTGTGTTCCCCTCCTTCCATTCCACCATGTATAAGGGTTTCCATAGTATACTATTTCCCTCATATTGATTGTATCAATGCACTGCTGGAAACCTCTGCTTTTCCACATGTTATAGGCCTGCCCTCCCCTTTTTTAATCACTTTTTAGGATACAATTAAAATCTCCAATTAAAGCCCATTTATTTCGGTTCATTTCATTCTCATTCATCTCCTCTAATTGCCCCCACAGGTCATTCCTTAATTCCCTATTACAGCTTGCATAAATGAATGAGATGCTGATTTTTCCAGTTTCTGGAGTTTCCAGTTCCATAGTTGTCATCTGTTGCCTCACATCACGAGATGTTATTTTTACACTTCTTTCCCAGAACACCCAAATCTTGTCTGATCCACAGTATCTGTTCTCAAAACCAAAAGTCATAGCCCAAGTGTCAATCTGTGAGCTAAAGGGCTCAATGAGGCAAACCACCTTTGGCTTAAAGGTTCTCACCAAGTTTTTTATCCTATGAGGGGAGCCTTGGGAGCCCACTCCCCTCACATTCCAACATAGAACTTTCATCTTTTCTTTTTGGGATAGGCCTTTTTGCCCCTCTTCATAGATCTTTGAGGTTGGTTCTGATTTTGTTCCTGTCCAACATTCAAATTAGATTGTGCTGTGGTTCTAGTTCCAATTGGAGAGACATGAAGTTTTTTACAGTCTTTCTCAATGTCCCTCTCATTCTCCATCACCTTTTGATTATGCTATTGCTCTTCACTTGTTCCCCTTGATTCAGCTATTGATCTAGTCTCAGAAACATCTTCTACCTCTTCCATATCTGTCTCACCCTCCATTCCTATTGTTCCAGGTCCTGGATCCACCTCATCTGTCCCTATTTGGTTTCCATCATCATCTATGTTATAGAGTGCATTAAAGCCACCTCCCTCCACATTAGGTATTTGCTCAGGTTCCTTTCCTTTTCCCTCTGCTGGCACAGCAACTTCCTTTGCAGGACTTGGTTCCATTTTTTCTGGTTCCCTTATTACCACTCCAATATTTTGCTTCATCTGCCCTCTACCAACCCCTCTGTTACATCCCCCTCTTCCTCCCCTTCCTCTAGAGTTTCCCCCTCTTCCTCTCCCCATTTCATTTCTCAGTTTCTCATAGTTTCCCTCCTTAGTTTCTTTCTGCAAATATTCCTCTCTTTTAGTTCCAGAAGTGCCTGCCCTTAAAGCTGGGTCTGTTTGTTTTTTCTCACTCTCTACTTGGCTTGGTTTTCTATTTCCCTCTCCCACCTTTCTAAAGCAAATTTACTGTTATATTATATTTTATAATTTATATATTATATAATATAATATATACAGATATTTTTTTTAAAGGGCTTGGCCCGCGGGTAGGCCCGCAACCCGAGCGGGCTATGGCCCTCCGCGGACTAAGGCCGTTAGGCCCGCGTTTTCACGGGCCTATTTTTTGGTGGCCCTAACCCGCCCCACTGTGGGGCGGGTGCGGGCCAGCCCACGGATTTTGACCCACTTTGACAGCCCTATATGCCCTTATTTACATACCTAAGAGTCCTAATTAGTGTCTAAATGGTATGGGCTTGCCAATTCTATTCCTTATAGGGCTAAGGGGTTGGTTTTAGGGATAAGGGTCCATGGACTATGGTGGATCCCTTTTTTGCTAATTAATGGATTTTAATTCCCTTTTTGGGGTATGTAATTAATTAGTTTAGTTTAGGGGTCGTCACACGGGGTGTTACATAAATCATATCTAGTGAATTTCAAAGAAATCGATGGACCAAAAGTTATATTCGGTGGAAATCAAAATTATGGAATTGCAAAAGGAGTTGGCACGATCAAGAAAAATGGATTAAAGATTGAAGATGTTTCATTCGTAGAAGGCTTGAAATTCAATTTGTTGAGCACCAGTCAATTTTGTGATAAAGGCTATCTTGTAGAATTTTCTAAAGATAATTGCCTAATCAAGAATGAGCTCACAAATGAAGTTGTACTCTCTGGAAAAAGGCGAAAGAACATGTATGTTGTTGATTGGAGTACAAGCAAAGATTCAGTGTGCTTAATCAGGACGTCTGAATTAACAAATTGGCGCGACCACCGAGCCACTAGGTTTGAGAATAAGGTGGGATCCCTGGATTGGGAATGGCAAAAAAGCTCAATCACTTAAACTTCAAGACTATCAATCAACATGCAAAGAAGAATCTAGTTGAAGGCTTGCCAGATATTATCTTCAAGAAGGACCAAGTGTGTGATGCATGCCAACGCGGAAAGCAAATCAAATCATCATTCAAATCAAAGACACACGAGTCAACGTCAAGACCGCTAAGCTTACTACACATGGACTTATTTGGACCGGTTGATCCAATAAGTGTAAGTGGTAAGAAATATACACTCGTTGTTGTTGATGATTTTTTCAGGTACACTTGGACCGTGTTTCTCAAGAAGAAAAATGAAGTTGAGCAAGTTCTACCAAAGCTGTTGAAGCAACTACAAAATGAGAAAGAATTGCAAATATCAAAAATACGAACGGATCGTGGAACTGAGTCCGTGAATGGAGTTATACAAGCTTTTTGCAATTCACATGTAATTTCTCATCAATTATCTGTCGCAAGAACACCGCAACAAAACGGTGTTGCCGAAAGAAGAAATCGGACGCTCAAAGAGGCCGCACGAGTGATGATTAGTGCTGCCGGTCTCCCGAAACGATATTGGGCGGAAGCTATCAACACTGCTTGCTACACACAAAATTGAAGCATGATCCATAAGCAGTATTCATATTTTTGGATGCAAATGCTTTATTCATATTAATGATAAATTGTATCTAAAAGCTTTTGATTAGCGTGCAGATGAAGGAATTTTTCTAGGATATTCAGCTACCAGCAAGGAGTTCAGAGTTTTGAATAAAAGAACAATGGTGGTTGAAGAATCCATACACGTTGTGTTCGATGAAAAATCACAGATCAATAATGGCGCTCTGGGCGAAGAAATTGCACAAAATGGTAACAAGTGTCATATTGATTTTTGTGATACTAATGATACGTGTGAAGATGATGTTTTGTAGGGAATGGATGAGTTGGAAATTAATTCTCTAGAAAATCTCATCCCTCATCCAGAAGAATTTGGAAATTCTTTTAATAATAATTTTGGAGGTAAAGCCGAACGTGAGAATGGAGATGCAGTACAGGTTGAAGTTGGTGATCCAGTTAGTGATCAAGTTACATGTGAAGTTGGTGATCGATTTCATGAAGAATTGAATAAGGAAATTCGAACCAACACTGCCATTTCACAAGAAATGGATCCACCCAGTACCATGCACCCATTTGAACTAGATTTAATATGGCACAAAAATCACCCTCCAGAATTAATTATTGGGAATTTACATGAAGGCGTGAAAACGAGATCATCTACCATGGAAGCATTGTTCACATGTTATCTATCTCAAATTGAACCAAAAGAAGTCGATGAAGCTCTTAATGATCAGAATTGGATAGATGCTATGCAAGAAGAGCTCGACCAATTTAAAAGAAATGATGTTTGGGAACTTGTTCCAAGACCGGCGAACCACAATGTTGTAGGAACCAAATGGGTCTTCCGGAACAAAGCAAACGAAGAAGGCGTGATTGTTAGGAATAAAGCAAGGCTCGTTGCAAAAGGATACTCTCAAGAAGAAGGAATAGATTTTGATGAAATGTTTGCACCGGTGGCTAGACTTGAAGCAATCAGAATTTTCCTTGCCTACGCCGCACACAAAGATTTCACTATTTATCAAATGGACGTGAAAAGCGCATTCTTGAATGGTCTACTCGAAGAAGAATTTTATATCGAACAACCCCCAGGTTTTGAGGTAAAAGGCGAAGGTGATAAAGTCTACAAACTTAAAAAGGCATTGTATGGGTTAAAACATGCACCTAGAGCTTGGTATGATACTTTGTCAATGTTCTTGATAAGTTGTGGATTCACCAAAGGCCTCGTTGACAAAACTCTATTTAGAATTCAAGATGGTGATCATATTTTATTAGTGCAAATCTATGTTGATGATATTATTTTTGGAAGCACTAACAACTCTTTGTGTGAGAAATTTTCAAAGCTTATGCAGAACAAGTTTGAAATGAGCATGATGGGTGAATTGAATTACTTCTTGGGCTTACAAGTCAAACAATTGAAAGAAGGAATTTTCATCAATCAAGCAAAGTACACCCGCGACTTGATAAAGAAGTTTGGCCTTGATGGAAAATCATCGATC